TCCTGCCACTGCTTGCACCCCAGCAGGGCAGAGGGGGCATGTGCCCTGAGATGTGCATGGTGTGGGGCAGGTGGCAGCTGTGGGGTAGAGCCGGAGCTGGCACAGCACAGGGCTCATCTCGTTGGAGGCTGGGCTCAGAGCGGGCTCTAGCAGTGCTGGGAGGAGGCTGCAACCACCCCAAATTTTGCTGCAGCTCCACTCCCAGCCCTGCACCGCTGCCTGGCATAACCGTGGCTTTTCCAGCGTGTGTGGAGGCGGGGCATTCAACCAGGGCTGATGGCAACCCACTGCCTCCCAAAAGGAGTACTTCCAGTGGCAAGGGTTAGAGGGTGGGACTTCTGGTCCTAAGATAGCAATTACGGGCAGGGCACCTGTCAAGGGGCAGAGCTACCCTTGTGACCCTTGACAGCTCACCAAAAGTAATTAAGTGGCTCTGTTAGTGAAATAATTGCCCACCCCTGCACTAGGAGATGAATCATTGATTCATAGTTTCTAGGGTCAGAAAGGACCTGAGCAGATCGTGGAGTCAGACCCCCTGCCATGGCAGAAAAGAGTACTGGGGTCAAGTGACCCCAGCAAGGTGTACATCTAGCCTCCTCTTAAAGACCCCCAGGGTGGGAGCCAGCACCACTTCTCTTGGAATTTGGTTCCAGATCCTAGCTGCCCTGACCGTGAAGTAGCACCTCCTGATATCTAGCCTAAATCTACCCTCTGCCAGCTTGTGACCATTATTCCTGGTCACTCCTGGTAGTGCTCGGGGGAACAGGGACTTCCCCAATGCCTGCTGGTCCCCTCTGACTAGTTTGTAACAGGCCACTAGATCCCTTCTCAGCCTTCTCTTGTGCAGGCTGAACAGGTTCAGATCCCATAGCCTCTCCTCGTAGGGTCTGCCCTGCTGTCCCCTGATCATGCGAGCGGCCCTCCTCTGGACCCCTCTCCATGTTGTCCACATTCCTCTTGAAGTGCAGCGCCCAGAACTGGACGCAGTACTCCAGCTGCGACCTGACCAGTGTCGCATAGAGGGGGAGTATCACCTCCTTGGACCTGCTCGAGATGCATCTGTGGATGCA